TCGAGGATAACCTTCCACCTATCCTAAATGCCCTCGAAGTGCAAAACCGGTCCCCGAGGCTGGTGCTGGAAGTTGCGCAGCACTTGGGTGAGAACACTGTCCGCACCATCGCCATGGACGGTACTGAAGGTCTCGTTCGTGGACAACCAGTTCACGACTCTGGTTCGCCCATCCGTATTCCGGTAGGAGCTGAGACCCTTGGTCGCATTATCAATGTAATTGGAGAGCCAATTGACGAGCGTGGCCCTATTCCTACTGATAAAACAGCTGCGATCCACGCTGAAGCTCCTGAATTTGTGGAAATGTCTGTGCAACAAGAAATCCTGGTAACAGGAATTAAGGTTGTAGATCTACTCGCTCCTTACGCCAAGGGAGGAAAGATTGGTCTGTTCGGAGGCGCTGGTGTCGGTAAGACTGTACTCATCATGGAACTGATCAACAATGTAGCCAAAGCCCACGGTGGTTACTCTGTGTTTGCTGGTGTAGGTGAACGAACACGTGAAGGTAACGACTTGTACCATGAAATGATTGAGTCCGGTGTCATCTCTCTGAAGGATAAGACATCCAAAGTAGCTCTTGTATATGGTCAGATGAACGAGCCCCCTGGCGCTCGTGCCCGTGTCGCCCTGACTGGACTTACTGTTGCTGAATACTTCCGTGATCAGGAGGGTCAGGATGTACTGCTCTTCATTGACAACATTTTCCGTTTCACTCAGGCTGGTTCTGAGGTGTCTGCTCTGCTGGGTCGTATTCCATCTGCTGTGGGTTACCAACCAACCTTGGCCACTGACATGGGTACTATGCAGGAACGTATTACCACCACAAAGAAGGGTTCCATCACATCTGTGCAAGCTATCTATGTGCCCGCTGATGACTTGACTGATCCCGCTCCGGCCACTACTTTTGCTCACTTGGATGCCACCACTGTATTGTCCAGAGCTATTGCTGAGCTTGGTATCTACCCAGCCGTGGATCCCCTCGATTCCACCTCCCGTATCATGGACCCCAACATCATTGGTGCTGAGCACTACAATGTAGCCCGTGGTGTACAGAAGATCCTGCAGGACTACAAGTCACTCCAGGACATCATTGCTATCTTGGGTATGGATGAATTGTCTGAGGAAGACAAGCTGACTGTAGCCCGCGCTCGCAAGA